TGGAGGCCGAGAAGCAGGCGAGCGGCGCAGAAAAGCTGGGTCGAACGCGCACATTCGAGCGCAAACCGCCCGCGCAAAGTCTCGGCATCCTCTGGCCGATCCCCGTCCTCACTGGGCCATGCTTCTAGGCCCCCCGGAGTCCCAGGTGGGGTCCGAATAGACGGGGTCGGAGGATCGCGCCGCATCACCGATGCATCGGCGATGCGGCTCGATGCGGAGCCCATTTTTCTCCACGCAGACGGGGTAGATGGCACCGCCGAGGTCACCGATGCATCGCCAACGCGTCGGAGTTGCATCGCCGATGCATCCGCGGTGCGGCGCGATCCTCCGACCCCATCTGCTCAGACCCCATCTGGGAGGCCTCCAGTGGTATACGAGCCTCGCCGGGTCATTCGCCCAGGTGGGGATCCGTCCCGCGAGTTCGGAAGGGAAGAGCACGCGGAGGAGCGGGTGCGCGGGCCGCCTCGTGGCCGCTCCTCGGATGACGCGTCCAGCAGGGGCCGCCCCTGGGACGGGGGGGTAGGCGGCGGTGAGACCGTGCCCCTCCCCTCGCTCCTCGCTCCTCCTCCTCCTCCTCCTCCTCTTCCTCCTCCTCCTCCTCATCGTCATCATCATCATCATCATCATCATCATCATCGTCATCATCATCATCATCATCATCATCATCATCATCATCATCATCATCATCATCATCCCTCCTCCCTCTCTCCCTCATCATCCCTCCCTCCGCCCCCCCGCCTCTCCTTTCGTTTTCTTCCCTCCTCTACTTCTCCCCTCCCCCCGGGGGTTCACAGTGTCGCTGCGGCTTCCCCCCCCCCCGGCCAGGGTTCTGGGTCTTGGTCTTGGCGTTCTTGTCGTGGGCGCGAGGTATAATTGCAAAGGGGGAGATGCGCCATGTCGCGCTGTGCTGTCGGCGCCTGCAGTGGTGTCGTCTCACTGGCCTTTTCTTGGGGTTTCGTTGGAGATCGGGGGCGGGAGTGCACAACCCTTCCGGGGCGAATCGGCAGCGGGGGCGGTGGGAGCGTCGGGCCTTTCCCCTGCCCCGCGTCCCGAGGGGGCGGCGGCTGCGCCTCTGGCCCCCGCGAGTCGCATCGAGCACCATCTGGTCCGCGTTCTCGCGCGGCGCCCCTCTCGGGCCCTCGGAGCAGTTTTGGCCTCGGCGGCGAGGCCGGGGGAGTCTGCGCGGGCGGAAATGCTTGCACGGAGGGGGCCGTCAGGGCAGATTGTGCCACCATGCAAGAGGGGGAGCAGGAGGAGGGAGCGGCCGAAAGAGGGGGGCGGAAGCAGCGAGCCGCTCCAGGGGACGAGCCACGCCCCGAGCGCGCGGCGCGCGGCCGGCTCCGCGGGCGGGCCCTCGGCGGCTGCTGCGCTCGGGGCTGGGAGGGTAAGGAGTCGAGGGGGTGGGCATCAGTCACTTGGCATCGCCCGGACGTGTGCACTTTTCTTCGGCGGGAGCCCTCGAGGACCATCCTGGACCACTGAGCAACAAAAAGACGCACGAGACCGAAACATGGACGGGAGATGGACGTCCGAGCGATGGCAAGATCATGGTGCCCGATGGGGTCGGATGGTGGGTTGCGCCAGCGTTGGTTGATTGGCTCTCGCTGAGGTGGTTTCCCCTTCTGGGCTGTTCGGAGCTTTCGCGCCGCTGTTCGCTTTTGGGTTGTGAGTTTCTGGGTTGCGCGTTTGCTGTGCCTGCAGCTGCCGGCGGCGTGCCTGTGGCGTCCGCCACGTGCTAATGCAGGCCCCGTGCCTAGCATCGAAGGTGGTTCGGGCGAGGTTCGTCCTGCCCTCCCTTGTGCCAGTGCAAGCTCCGTGCTCGCCCCGACCTGCCATCGACCCCACCGCAGGGGGGCCCTGTTCTGGACAACGGTCCGCACACCACCACCTCCTTCCCTCCCCTCCCCCTATTCCATGGTTTCGGCCGGCCGTGTCCCTCGGTCACATCGTGGCCGTTCAGAGGGAGACGGAAACGGAAACGGAGACGGAAAAGCAGATATCCTCGCCCAGGGGGCTAAGTCGGCCGACGGGGCCAAGGCCATGCCAGTGGGGGTAGGGATCATTTAAACGGTGCTAAGAGAGCGCGCGAGCGAGAACCCTCGTCTCGATGGTAAGGCAATTACCAGAAGGAGCGCGAAATGAGGAGCGACGTCCCCCATCCCTTGCCCCCCCTCAGACCTGGGAGCACGAGGAGCGATGGAGGAACAACCGTGGAAGGACCGCAAGGAGCATCGAGCTCGCCCGAACCCGGGATGGTGTTCGGAGCAACCATGGGGGGACTGGAAGACAATGGCGAGCTCTCCCGTACCCGGGACGCCGCTCCCTCTGTTCAGCGCCGGGCCGGGCGGTCGTCCGCGCCGGCGGAGGGCTCCTGGGGGGGCCCACGGGGCCCGAGGTGCGCGAGGGGCGGGCCGAGCCGAAGCTCCCTCGGGCCGTCTGAGGGGTCAGCTGAGAGCCCCTGCGTCCCTGAGGGCCGAAGTGCGCGGGGGCTGTGCCGCATCGGGCCGCGCGCGGTGCCCCCTTTGGCGCCCGTGGGCCGCGCGCGCGCCACTCGCGCGGGGCCGCCTCGCGCCCCCCTCCCGCGCAGGGGCCCGCCGGCTCGCCTCTCGCGTGCGCGTGTGCCGCGCGTGGCGCGGCGGCCGGGAGTCACGTGGGGAAGAAACACACGGAACGGCGGTAAGGAAAAAACGAAAATCCAGAGCATGTCAGGAGAGATGGGGGATCCTGGGATGTGTGTCTCTTGTTACTTGTGCGTCCCAGGGCCCCCTTTTCAGAGAGCCTTGGGCTGGGGGTTCGCGCAGACGGGGGTCGGCAAAGCCAGGGTTAAGTCGGGCATGTCCTTCTACAGGAGGAATTTGCAAGAATAGTCAAACAAAAAGTATGGGGGCGATGTTTCGTGCTCTATTGATTACTGTTTATCATTTGTTGGCTACGACGAGCATGTGTTTACTATTTGTTCATGTGTCTTCCAGAGTCCGCATGTAGGAGGACACGCCCGACCTCAAGCCAGGGTTGCACTGGCCCGGGCTTGCGCGCAGGATCCCGCGGGACTTTGCCGGAGCCTGCTGGACTTGGCCCGGCGGCGAGCCCAGGGGGGAATCGAGGAGGGGCGGGCCTTTGAAGTTCCCCAGCTTTCTGATCAGTTTTCTAGGCCTTTCCCGAAGCCGCAGAGCAGTTCTCAGAAGGCCGGCGGGCTTCTGGGCTTCTGAGTAGCCCTGCCGCCTTCCGAGCTGGCCTTCTCCTCCTCACTCCCCCCCTGTGCTCGCCGCCGAGTGTCGGTCCTGGGCGTCGCTTGCAGGGGTAGGGGGCCACATGTGAACCCTACCCCTACCCCCCGCGATTTCTGAGGGGGAGGGTGGGATTCACTTCGTTCGGGAGCGTCCGAGCGAAGTGAAACCCACCCTCCCCCTCAGAAATCGTGGGGGGGGCGGGTAGGTTTCGCATGTGGCCCCCTAAAGGGGGGGAGGGGCGATAAATGGGGAGGAGGGAGGAGGAGGCGAGGAAGAGAGGAGAGAAGGAGAGAGGAGAGAGGAGGAAGGAGGAGAGGAGGAGGAGGAGAGAAAGTGCACCTCTCGGGCCCGAAAGGCCCCCCCCTTCTGCACCTCCAATGGCCCCTCCGGCGGGGCCCTTGAGGGACCCCCTCGCTCGCCGCCCGCTCGCAGCATCCAGCGGAGCCCGACCGCCCCGGGGCTGGACAGGGCCCGGGGCCCGTGTCGTGGCATCGCTCGGGCGTGTGCATTTTGCTCCTCGGCGAGGGCCCTCGAGGACCATCCTGGGCCATCGAGCCAACAAAAAAAAGAACACGCACGACACCGACAAAAATGCAAGCAAAATGGGCGTCCGAGCGACGGCAGGGCAAAGTGGGCGTCCGAGCGACGGCAAGGCGTGCCCCCGAGTCGGCCCGGACCGCCCCGTCGATCCCTGGGCGCTGGCCCGCCCCGGGGGGCCCGAGAGGGTCGGGGCGCCGTCGAGGCTCGGGCTCGCCGGGGCTCGGGGTCTGCAGGACCCGTCTGACGGTTCCGTCCTGGACTGCGAAGGCGTTACAATTTACCAGCCTCGAACGTATCCCTATCCCTAAGATTGACTCGCCAAAAGGCGATGACAATCTTAGGGATCCGCCCTCAAAAGATAAGGGAATCCCTAAGATTGGCATCATGATGAGGAGGTGCCATGTTCCAGGCTGGTAAACAATGGAAACCCATGCGAAGAAACACTCGGGGAACGAACAAGGACACAAGAAACTCGGAGGTCCGGTCGGACCTCCGAGTGTTTATGTTTGTGTTATCTTTCGTGGTGGATGGTTTTTTGCTACTGAACGCGTGACTCTTCCGCACCAAAAGAATCAATGGGCGCCCTGGGGTCTCAGGGTTGGGCGCCCTGTGGTCGAGCTCCTACTGTACAGCCGCTGCCGTCGACCCTGAAGGGGGGCGGCGGCGGCGGCGGCGGCGGCGACGCTGGCGTGGGCCAGCGTCCTTGGAGCGTGAGGCTCGAGCTCGCCGGAGCTCGGGTTTTGCAGATTCCGTCTCGTCCTGGGCTTTGATGGTACAGTTTCCTCGCGGGATGTTTTTGCAGTGGGAGATCGCGTCAAATTTCACACTGGGCCTCGTCCTTTTCCTGACGACCCGCGTCAGGCCAACCCGAGTGCCCCGAACCCGAGGCTTATGTCTCCCCGACAGGTGGTGGTTATAAGTGACCATTTTCCCTCCTCGCCGCGCGGGTGCCGTTCGTGGCACGTCGGCTGGCCACCTGCTGATCCCAGCCGGGCCTGTCCTGGGCCCCAGGGTATCGAAGTACCCACGGTTTCGTCTCGCCGCCCGGCTGCCGTTCGTGGCACGTCGGCTGGCCACCCCGCCGATACGGGCCAGGCCCGTCCTGGGCCCCAGGGTATCGGTGCGCGCGCCCTGTTGGCTTGACGAAGAGGCGCACGCAGCGATTCTGGGCCCAGGGCCGGGCCTGTTCGCAGAGGCGGCCGAGGTGGTCCGCCGACGTCCCGCCGGGAGGTGTCGGCCGCCGACGACTTCTACCGCTTCGTGAACCACGCGTGGCTCTCGGACGAGTCCATCCCCGCGGCGGGCCTGGCCACCCCCAGCGCCCCGGCGGGCCCATGTGTGTCGAGTAGGGGCAGCGACCACAGAATCGATCTACCCCAGAATTGATTTCCCGTCGCATTTACTAACAATTCAGCAGTCGATCTCCTGCTGGAATGTTCGGCCGGATGGCGATGGGGGGATCAGGACATGGGGGGATGAGTATCCGGTACCGTCTTGTTGGGGTACAACTTGTACCTTCTCTGCGGGTTGCAAGTGCAAATTGTACCTTCTCTTCCCCCCCCGTTAACATCCTCGCACATGTCGCGGACGTTGTCAAAAGTACAATTTGTACCTTGTCTGCGTGGCGTCGGTACAAATTGTACCTTCTCCGTGGGGCGTAGGTACAATTTGTACCTCGGTTGCGCCTCTCTCCCCATCTGGACTTATCCCCCCATTTGCATCCCGCCAAAATGTGGGCAGCACCGCGTGGAGCAAGAAGACGGGCCCTGGGGAGGGCCCCCTGCGCTCCACCCTGGCCCCCCCCCCCCCGCGGGCCGGGCGGGCGGGCGCGAGAGGGCTGGCACGGTTCGGGTGCGCGCAGCAGGGGCCCCCCTCTCGCCGGAGGGGTCTGCTGTGCGGGCTCGCAGGGCCCCCCCCCGCCTCTATTCTGCACGAACGAAATGGGCACGGAAAGAATGGGTACAATGCCCAACAGCGGATCCCGTTCATTTTGAACAGGACTCGCTGTCCGCGCCGCGGAACCTGTGTCCATTTGAGACAGAAGGCCGCCTGCCCATCAGTGGCCGCTGTTGGTTTGGGACAACATTTGTTGTTGGGCATTGTGCCCATTCTTTCGGTACCCATTTCGGGTGTCCAAATCTATCGGAGGTGGCTATACCTCCTGCCCTGACACGTCGATTAAGGAATTGGCCGTTTTCGGTTCGCGAGAGGGCGTCGCGGCCGTCATGTTTGCGGGTCCAGGCCCGTGGGTTTCGGTCCCAGGCCGTTTTCACTCAGGGGAGCTGTATTAAAGGGAGGTTTGTCCACCGCCGACTCTAGGACTCCCAGATGGGATCCGAGTAGATGGGGTCGGTGGATCGCGCGCATCGACGCCGCATCGCCCATGTGGCTCGATGTGGGGCCCTACTTTCTCCACGCTGGCGTCACCGACGCATCGCCGACGTCGCCGAAGCACCGCCGATGCTTCGCAGATGCATCGCCAATGCATCGCCGATGCATGGGCGATGAGGCGCGATCCTCCGACCCCGCCTACTCGGACCCCATCTGGGAGGCCTCTGCCACCCTAGCACTGGCCACTGGCTGGCCCGCTTGGACTTGGCCCCCTCCGCGGCCTCTCGCAGCCGCGCGCTGGAGGTCACACCTGGTCTCACGCGGCCGTCTTTGGGCGGTCGAGGGGCTCTCTGAGGCCGTCTAGTGGTCCTCTTGCACGCTTGGACTGTCTTGAAGCCGTCTTGGAGGACGCTTGGGCCATTCTGAGGCGCTCTTGGGCCGTTCATTGAAGACGCCCAGTCTCAAGCAGACGCACCACAGACCCTTCTGGGTGTCCTCGCAAGGCCCTCTTAGGCTGCCTTGGAGCCATCTTGGGTCGCCCTGGGGCCGTTTTGGGCCGTGTTTGAGGAATGTGGGGCCATCTTGGCGGCCTTGGTTTCAGGAAATCAGTCCCCAGGAAAATATGGGAAATATGGGAAGTGGGGGGGGGAGACAAAACCCAGAAAATACGGGAAAATATGGGGAATCCTTTAATTCCCCAACCAGAGCTTGCCTCTGTAGGGGTCCTAGCGGATTCGTATGGTTAGGTTAGGTTTGCCGCAGATTTTCGGTGCACGCCCGGGTGCCCGGGTGCCCCGGGGTGCCCGGTGCCCGCCCGGTAGCCCGATAACCTTATAGCCCTAGAGCCTTATAGCCCTATAGCCCTCTAGCCATATAGCCCTATAGCCCCAAAAGCTTTATAACCCTATAGCCCTAGTAGCTCCATAGCTTTATACCCTTATACCCCTATAGCCCTTTAGCCCCATAGCCCTAGAGCCTTAGAAAGACGATGATTGGGTTTTTCTCTGGTATCATTTGTGTCTATTTATTTGTGTGTCCCAGTTCCCCTTCAGTTGGGCGGGCCATCTTGGCGGCCTCGGTTGCCTGCCTCGGCCGTCGCAGCCCTGTTCGGCTGGCTCCTGGCCGCCCCCCCCCCCCCCCTTGGCCCCTGGAAGTGGCCAGCCCGGCCGCGGGCCCGTCCAGATCCCGGAGGAGTACCCTAGCTGGGGCAGCTTCGTCAAGCTGATCGACGACTCCATCAAGTGCCAGGCCCTGGCCAAACCTCCTCTTCGTCCTCCTCCTCCTCCTCCTCCTCCCTCCCTCCTCCTCCTCCTCCTCCTCCTCTACCTCCTCCTCTCTCTCCTCCTCCTCCTCTCCTCCTCCTCCTCCCTCCCTCCTCCCTCCTCCCTCCGCCTCCTCCCCCCCGCCCCTCCTCCTCCTCCTCCTCCTCCTCCTCCTCCTCCTTCTCCTCTTCGCCTTCCTCGCTTCCTTGACAACCTCGCGTCGATACGAGAAATCGACCCCCGTTCTGTCGGTCTCTGGAGCCCTTGCTGGGCCCCGGGGCCCCGGGACCGTCGAGCAAAGTTTTGGGACGGAAAGGTGGTCCCCACGAAGGGGGCCACGCCTCTGGGGAGCCACGCTGCGAACAAAACACGCCGCCTGATGCTGGGTTCATCCCCCCCTTCTTTACATCCTTCTTCCACCTGCCCCTCCCCCTCCTACCCCTCCTTCCATCCTTCGTCCTCCTTCCCCTGCCCCTTCCGCCAGGTCCGGCTGGCGAACGAGCTGATCGACGGACCCCCAGAATTCTGGGCGTCGCGGCCAAACATTACGGCGGGGGTCACACAACACGGAATAAATCGAGCGCCCCAGATAATAAAGCAACCCACTTTTGATTTTTTGAGAGGTGACCATCCCGGGCCACGGCAGAGTTGGTCGGGGGAAAAGGGGCGGCGATGCCGAATTTCATGATCGCCAGGGAGAGGGTGAATCTAAGTTGCAGTCCTCTCATGCTGAGCAGCAGCACTATCACGGACGTGTGGCAGGGCGTTGGGATTCTCACCCGTTCCAGCTGTCGTAGCTCACGAGCGTGCGGCCTGGCTGTGGGCCCGCCCCTCCAGGGAGGCCCCGCCAGAGCGAGCAGGATCTCGCTATACCCTCGTAGCAGATCGTCGCGCGCACGAGCTGCCGGTGGAGAACCTATAAGCCCCCCGAACCCCGAACTCATTTTATCCCCACGCAGTGATTAGCAGGAGCATCGAGCTCTTTCACTGTTCCACCTCGGGGGCATGCTTCGGACCCCTGGACCATCAGAAGCGACCCGAGACGAACAAAATGGTCCCGAGGGCATGGGCGAGAATTTTGGAGGGCGTTTTATTTAGAGAAAATCACGGTTCGTTCAAGATTATCAGAAGCGACCCTCGACGGAAAGCCAGTTTTGAAACGTGGTGGGGAAGGCGGGTTGCCCCCGTCGTGAGAAGGTCGCTACGTCGGGGGTCTGAGGAGCGAGCACCCCCGACGAGAAGAAGCTCGCGCTGACCTGGAACGCCACCATGAAGTGCTTCGAAGATTGGGGGAAGGGCCTGGGGGACTACGGTTGCATTATTGACGAGATTCAAGTGTTGGGTGCGCATCTCGAGGGTGATGGAGAGACCTTCAGGAACGGTCTCGCAAAATACATGAGCCGTTGTCAAACGATAGACGTAGAGTGCCCCTTTACGTTCGGCAAAGAAGCGAATCTGAAAGACACCGAGAACATTGTGCTGGACTTAAGTCCGTCTGGAACTTCCTTGCCTGGCCGAGATTATTACATGGATAGCAAGTTTGAGGAGCAGCGGGGATTCTTCAAGGCTCACCTGGAGAATGTGGCGGGCCTGATTGGAGCCGATCACCTGACAGGCGACTTTGTCGCCCGTGTGACTCGTTTCGAGAAGAAGCTGGCGCAAATCAGTATGAAGGATGACCAGCAGCGCCTGTATGACCAGTACTTCAACGTGACGACGTTGGACGAGATGATGAAGGATCCCAATGCCATGAAGCACCTCGAAGCGAAAGACGCGAACTACGCCGAGCATGAAGTCGAGGATGCGGATCCTGATATGCAAGTTTTGACGAGTCAAACATGGATTGCGAGCGCTTCAGACTCGGAGCTGGCGGCCACCTTCTGGAAACAGGTTGTCAGTGACATGCAATTGCGCGAAATCATGTCCGCGAACTACGCCAAGAATTATCCAGAGCGTAGCGATGCCGAGGAGGCGCAGTATCGTATGATGTTGTTCGATGGTGACTACTTCAGACGATTGTTTCCAATTATTCTGCGGGAATCAAATCGCGACGACGTGAAGGCTTATTTGCAGTACCAGATCATCAGCTCAATGCGATCATTTTGCACTAAGGCCTTAGATGACGAGTTTTTTGATTCATCGGCTTACGGCATATCCGCCAACTCCTTGGGCTAGTTTTGCTTCGTCCGCCTCGGGCCCTCTTGGGTGGTGTGTTCTTGTACTTATGGTGTTTTCTTGGACTTAGTCGGCTGTGGGGGCTATATTGGGGCCTTTGCGTGGTATCTGGGGGGCCCATTGGGGGCTCTTCGATCGTCCGAAGCTCGGGGAGGCCTTGAATCTTTTCGGGCGGTCTTTTTAGGAGCCTCTTGGAGCAATGTTGAAAGTCTTGGGGGCCATCTTCGAGTGGGAGGGCTTGCTTTCAAGCTCGCCCCCCCCCGACCCTCATTAGGGGCCGTCCAAGGGGCTTCTTGGGTCGTCTTGGCATATTGATGCCTCTCTTGGAAGCCGTTTTGTTCCGGTTTGGGGGTCGTCTTCGGCTATCCCGTCCAGTCGAATGCCGCATAACGGGCGACCGCGGCAGTCATGAAACACCACTTGAGAATCACAGCCGTCTGTCTTCTGAGGCCTTCTGGGGGTTCCCCTCGGCGCGCTCTTTTGGGCCGTCTTGGGGCGGCCTCGGGCCGCTTCAGAGCGCGAAGGGGGGCCCTCTCGACGCCCTCTCGGAGCGTCCGGGCACCAGCTCGGGCCGCCAGGGCGCGCGCCCCCCGGGGGCCTCCGGGGCCGCTGCCTCAGACCCCCCCCCCTGCCTCCAGGGGCGGCCGGGCTCGGGCTGCCAGGGACGGAGCGCGGGCAGGGCGCAGCGGTCTCAGGAGGAGGAGGGGGAGGAGGAGTGGGAGGAGGGGGAGGAGGAGGAGGAGGAGGAGAGGAGGAGGAGGAGGAGGAGGAGGAGGAGGAGGATTGAGGAGGAGGGGAGGAGGAGGAGGAGGAGGAGGAGGAGGGAGGAGGGAGGAGGGAGGAGGGAGGAGGGAGGAGGGAGAAGGGAGGAGGGAGGAGGGGGGAGGAGGGATCGCGGGCCGAGGAGGCCAAATGGGGGCCGGCGGGTTTCTATGAGCGCAAGCTCGGGGGCAAGAAGGAGCAGAAGCCGGCCGAGAAGCGCGCCGTCGAGAGGATGAACTCTTGGCTGGGCGAGCTGATGGGCAAGGTGTATGTTGCCAGGTACTTCCCTGAAGAAGACAAGACGGCGGTGCACGGCATGGTCAAGGACGTCTTGGGCATCATGGAGAAGTCGCTGAAAGGGAACGACTGGCTGACGGACGCGACAAAGGAGAAGGCGTCCTTGAAGCTCTCTCGGTTTGTTGCCAAGCTGGGATCTCCTGATAAGTTGAAAAGCTATGACACCCTTGATTTGGTCGAGTCGGACACTTTGATTGGCTTGCGGGGTAAGGTGGTTGCATTCAACAAGCGAACTGAATTCTTCGATAAGATCAACAGCGCCAAGGATAAGACAAAATGGGAGATGAATCCGCAGGATGTCAATGCGTACTTCCATCCCTTAAACAACGAAGTCGTATCCAGCTGCCTGCGGCAAATCTGCCACCGTGCCAGCGAAGCACTCTGCGTGACGATCCTTCGAACACTCTCCTGGACGTCTCGGGCGTGCCTTGGGGCCGTCGCGGCGCCGTCTTGGGGCATTGTTTGTGCGTGGGCTGTCTTGGGCCGGCCCTCCTACGGGGCTGCTCTGGGCCGTCTTGGGGCCCTCTTGGGGCGATGGTGGGCTCCTTTGGGCCTCTGACGACCGCACGTGTGCTGATCTTCGACCCGAGGGCGTGGGAAGCCAAGACAACATTGAAAAGCGCAATTTGGAAATCCATGTTTTGGGCCTCGCGACGGCTTCCTGGAGAGCATCTTGGAGATGTCTTGGGGTCGGGGCCCATCAGGCGCTTCTTGGGGGCTCTTGGGTACGTCTTCGGGCAATATCGGGCTACATTATTGGCCGTGGTGGCGTGCCTGGGCCGTCTTGGAAGCCTCGGCGTACCTTGGGGGACCCAGGCGTCGGGCCGCCAAGGAATCCTCGGGATATAAAAAGGAATGAGAAAGAGAGAGAGAGAGAGAGACAGAGGAAAAACAACAACAGCACCACAGGTCCACAAATATTCTGCTAGACAGCGCTTGCCGATCTACGGCCCCTCACAGTGCCACGGGGGCACGGTGGCGGATTCCCTGCTGCGATCATGCAGCCTCCGTTCTACCCAGTGGCGCCGTCGCGCAGATCCGTCATCTGCGTTGGCAGACGTAGAACGTGATACGGCTGTGGCGCTGCATGGTTGTTACGGATGCATCTAGGGCGGCCTTCTTTGCCCGGGAAGGGCGATCAAGCAGGCGGGTAAGGAGGATGACACCGTTTTTTCGATTCCTCCGATTTGATTGGATTCGATTTCGTAAGTTTCTAATTCCGATTTGATTCGATTCTGGATTTCCCAATGGAGGCATCCTAGCCTGCCGATTTCCGCCAACGTGATTTCCCCCGACACGGCTACTGATTTCCGCCGATTCGATTCATTTCGATCGCCAATCCGACCTATCGATTCGATTCTGGGCTCTCCCAGAGAAGGGAAGTGGGAGGAGGGGAGGATGACGAGAAAGAGGAGGAGCAGGCGGTGTATGAGTGGAGATGAGGAGGAGATGGGGGACGATGGGCCAATGAAACAAAGAGCTCTTACGTAATGGAAGAGCTGTGCTCGTTGGCGGCATGGAGGCACTCCTCCGAATGGCGTGGCCGCGCGAACGAGTTGTCGTGAATATGTGATTCCTGAGAAGGGGCCCGCAGCTGCTCTTGTGAGTGTCAACTATTTGATAAGGTGGAGAGGGTGGAGCTCGACTTGTTCGGAATTGCAGCCGTGCCAGACACGCCCACCTCAACATTTGTTCGCAAGTGACCCGCTTCGTGTTCCGTCGTATTCTTGAACTTCAGAGTTTGATTGCTAGTCCAAGAATCGAAGGTTGGGGGAAGACTAGAAATCCACCCTGCGAGGCAACACACACTGACAACCACTGGTAACAGGTGTAGCAGCAGCATGCTTAACCCACATCTATATGTGTTTCATGAACACAAGTAGCAGCAACAAGCACTGGTGAACAACTCGTGACGACCACAGCATGTGAGTACATCACATGTATATGCATCTCGGTGTAAATATATATATGTACAATATAAACATGTTTACACACATACCGAAATGATGAAGTACATGAGGAACTACACATGCATGATATTCATATGTATTTATATGTATACACATACATTACAAGATAAATCTACGAATTCACAGCTGGATGTCGATGTTCCGATGTGTGTCCACTCGCGAATTGAATGTCTGAATGCTTAGCGTATCCCCATCAGCCCAGTCGGGAACGATGCTTAGAGGAGCCGCGATTATCAGGGGAACATTCGGATACCTCGAGAAGCCGCCGTGAACTAGAGGCCTGCTGGATGCCTCTCGGAGTCGCGTGGGATGTCTCGAGGAAGACTCTTGGTGCCTTTTTCAGGGTGTCGTGGGTGCCTTTGATGGCGTCTTGGGGGTCTTCTGGGTGTCTCTCAGGGGTTGTCCATGGGCCTCTCGGGGCCCTCTGGGGGCCTTGTTGTGAGCCTCGGAGGCCTTTTTGGGGACCATCTTGGAGGATGTCGCTTGCCGAGGGGGGGGGGCTGATTCAGCATTGCCCCCCCCTGGGAGGCCGAAGTTGGCCAAAAACCGAACCTAAACTCATGTGTTTTCGTTTTCTCCCCGATCCTCACAACCGGAGTTACAACTCAGGTGTAGCCGCTCTGGGGACTCTCGCTGGGCGCCCTGGCCAGACCTTCGAGGGGGGGGGGGGGGCAGGGGAGGGGTCGAGCTACCCCCCCCCCGATGGACGGCCGCCTCGCTCACACACGCACACACACCCGTCCTCCGCTCCCCTTCTCGGCCGTTCGCCCCCGCAATACCTGTCACGGGTAACTCTTTCTGTTTGCGCGTGTGTCTGTCCGGGTGGGGCAGGGTTTGTCCGCCCCAGCCGGCGCACGATGCGAGCAACACCGCAATCGTGGAGAGGCTCTGGCCAGATCTTTGGCCACATTCGCAGGACAGCCTTGTGACGAACATGTGTGGTGTATCGTATCGTTGTCCGCGAAAAATGTCTCGTTCATTCACACCCGTTCTCCCGCGACATACGTCCGGTAGGTTCACGCGGACGTGGCGCTCCAGCGACGCTAGCGAAGGCGTTCAAGGCTGTCTTCCGCGACGCGGACGCACCGAGGGGCACGGTAACGCCACAAGGCCCGTCTGAATTCAACCTTGAACGGTCGGGGCCGGGATCGGTTCAAGGTTGAGCGATCGAGTGTCAAGGACCTTTGCGCGCGCCGAGGCCGCTCGAACTTACCGTGGCACCCAAGTCTCAGCATGGGCAGGGACCGCCATCGGCAACCATTGCAGACGCCAGCCAGGTGCGCGACGCCCGCGAGGCGTGGTGCGCTGTCAGGGCAACCCCGTCATCTTGTCAAATAACAGCGCAAAGAGATCGCGGGACGCTCGCGCATGATCAAGATTCTGCCGCTGCCGAAGATTGTAGTTCGTATTGTTTTTGACGAGAGAGAGAGAGAGAGAGAGAAACAAAAAAAGAGAGAGAGAGAGGCCTGCGCGCAGCAGTCGACATGCTAGCCCCACCCCCGTGCAAATTAATCGCGCGGTGGCCGCGCATGATCCAGATTTTGACGCCAAGTGCGGCTTGCATCGCCTTGTAAGGATGGTCAGGGGGGTTGTCATGGTTCTGGGCTCGCCCCCGGTCAGGTGGGGGGAAAGGGGGTAAATGCATCAGGAACAATGATCCACACTTCCCCGAAGGGGAAGAAAGGGGTTGGAGGAGGAAGCGCGTAAACCACCTACTCCCTGAGGGGCTGGTGGGAATGTGCGTCCAATGCGCATCAAAGAAGATGTCGATCACCCCAACCTCCTTATCACCCGCAGGCTGGTCTGATCGGTTTTCCTATGAGCCATTTATAGGTTGAACAAGTTGTTAAACTTCCACGTCTTTGGCGTTACCCCTGGCGGCATTCTGTGAACCTCGTGGGGGCAGCAATTTTTGCGAGGGACTCCCGGGGCATCTCGGAGGCTTCCTCGGGGATTTATCCAGGCATTGACGTCGAGGGTGGCTTGCTGTAAGGGCCGCCTCGGGGAATCTTGGGCAGTTTTGTATGGTCTTGGGGCCGTCGAAGGGTTGAACGGGGCCGTCGTGGGCAGTCTTGCGGCGGATTGGCAGGCCGCTCGCCGTTGTGGGGCCGAGCTGGTCCGCTCTGGGTTCGACGTGGTGCCTCATGTTGTTCCAGGCGAGTTTGGACCTCGTCGGGGGGGTTGTCCAGGGCCGTCGGGCTGCCTGTCTTTGGGGCGCGTGGGGCCGTCAGGAAGGTATCTGCTGGAGGGTTCACTCGGGAGGTGGCGCTGCGGTAGGTTCTCGTCGCATCGGCGCGGCTGCAAACCCGGCGTGGGCTCGGAAGGTTGAACGCCGCGCGTGGCCCAGAATCGGCTGGCAGCGGACGATCTGCGCCATCGGAGAGCCGCGAGCGTTCAACGTGGAACGAGCCACGCGGTGTCAGAAACCAGCGCAAACGTCGTCACGGCAAGAACTTGCCGCAGGCAGGTGGTGTGGCGTCTATTGTGTCTCTCTCTCTCTCTCTCTCTCTCTCTCTCTCTCTCTCTATATATATATAGTCAGTTGACCATCTTGAGCAGGTCTTGCGCCCTCCTGGACCAGCTGACGGCCTCCCCCCTGCACTTTCAGTAGAGCACATGCGCTTGTGTTGGGGAACGCAGCGGTGCTGGCAATTATTCGGTAAAAAACTTGCCAGCGCGGGCCTCAAGCAGTAGGTCATTCATTGCGTTGAGGATGTGTAGCATCTGTGGCGCAAGCTACGTGATGTAAGCCATATCGTGCGGTGCGTGTGGTGCAAGCCATGCGGTGCACACCTGTGGAGTGCGCGCCACCTTGCGCAAGCTGTTGTTCTTGAGGGCGGAAGCCATGGGCTGTAATCCGTGCAGTGTGTGTGTGTGTGTGTGTGTCTGTGTCTGTGTCTGTGTCTGTGTCTGTGTCTGTGTCTGTGTGTCTGTGTGTGTCTGTGTTTGTCTGTGTCTTTCTGTGTCTGTCTGTGCCTGTCTGTCTGTCTGTCTGTCTGTCTGTCTGTCTGTCTGTCTGTCTGTCTGTCTGTCTGTCTGTCTGTGTGTCTGTCTGTGTGTCTGTCTGTGTGTCTGTCTGTGTGTCTGTCTGTGTGTCTGTCTGTGTCTGTCTGTGTGTCTGCCTGTGTGTGTGTGTGTGTCTGCGTGTCTGTGTGTCTGTGTGCCTGTGTGTCTGTGTGTCTGCGTGTCTGTGGGAGTGTGGGAGTGTGGGAGTGTGGGAGTGTGGGAGTGTGGGAGTGTGGGAGCGTGGGAGCGTGGGAGCGTGGGAGCGTGGGAGCGTGGGAGTGTGGGAGTGTGGGAGTGTGGGAGCGTGGGAGCGTGGGAGCGTGGGAGCGTGGGAGTGGGAGTGTAGGAGTGTGGGAGTGTGGGAGTGTGGGAGTGTGGGAGTGTGGGAGTGTGGGAGTGTGGGAGAGTGTGAGAGTGTGAGAAAGTGAGAGTGCGAGAGTGGGAGAGTGGGAGAGTGGGAGAGTGGGAGAGTGTGAGAGTGTGAGAGTGTGAGAGTGTGAGAGTGTGAGAGTGTGAGAGTGTGCGAGTGTGTGAGTGCGCGAGTGTGTGAGTGTGTGGTTGTGTGAGTGTGTGAGTGCGTGAGTGCGTGAGTGTGTGAGAGTGTGTGAGTGTGCGAGAGTGTGTGAGTGTGAGAGTGGGAGAGTGTGAGAGTGTGAGAGTGTGAGAGTGTGAGCGTGTGAGAGTGTGAGAGTGTGAGAGTGCGAGTGTGTGAGCGCGTGAGCGTGTGAGCGTGTGAGCGTGTGAGCGTGTGAGTGTGTGAGTGTGTGAGTGTGTGAGTGTGTGAGTTTGTGCGTGGGCGCGTGGGCGCGTGGGCGCGTGGGCGCGTGGGCGCGTCTCAGCCCATGGGGGCGCCCACGAGGCGCGCCCGCCCCCGGGCGGGCACCGGGCCACGCCCCGGCGGACCCCCGCGGGCCCGCCAGAGCGCGTGGCGCCCGCGGGGCGCCCGCGGGGAGGCACCGGGCGAGACCTGGGCTGGCCCGCCCAGTGCACGGGGCCCCCGCGAGGGCCCCACTGGCGCCCACAGGCGAGTGGCATTAAGTCGGGCCTGTCCCTCTGCAGGAGGGATATTCAAAAATAGTAAAAACATAGTCCGGGGACCATTGTTTGACTATTTTGGGGCATGTTTTGAATATGTTTGGGGGTATTTTTAATTGTTCGTCCAGAATAACCCTGTAGGGGAGCCAGGCCCGACCTGAGGGTAGCAGACGAAGTCTCGCCCGTCCCATCCAATGCCGTAGGAGCCACAAGTAAGGGCCCCGTGGTGCAAGCACTACTTGGCGAATCGTGCCGCGGCCAGGGACCCCCGACTGTTCAGGCCCTCGACTGTTCAGGCCGTGGCGCAAGCCTGCTGCTGCAAAGCGCGGCGGCGGACCACCGCGCACTGGACCACTGCGACCTGAAGCTGGACATCTCCGAGGGCGATGGCCCCGCCATGCTGGCCGCGATCAACTTCGGGGGGATCGGGGCCGTCATCGCGCACGAGATCACCCACGGCTTCGACGACCAGGGCCGGAAGTTCGACCACGACGGCAACATCAACGAGTGGTGGGAGGAGCAGGATGCCAAGCTCTTCGAGTCCAAGTGCGAGCTGATGGCAGAGCAGGCTGCCCGGTGGGAGTTCAGGCGCCGGCGGCGCGCGGACCGCGGCGCTGCCGGGGCGCGCGGGCGGCGCTCCCGAGGAGCGGCGCGGGGCCTCCTCTCCTCCGACGGGCCCGGGGGCTCCTCGGAGCACTCCGCGGCTGGCGGGCGCGAGGGCTTCGAGGGAGCCCCCCTCGGAGTGGAAGCGGTGGGGAGGGGCTCCTGGCATCGCTCGGACGTGTGTATTTTTTTTCCCGGGGAGGACCCTTGAGGAGCATCCTTGGTTCTTTGGCGAGAGAACCGCGCACGGAACCGAAGAAAGCACAGGGAGTGGACGCCCGAGCGATGGCCACGGGCTTCTTTTGGGAGCCCTGCTGCCTGCACTCCGAGCAGCCCCTGCCCCCCCGCGGAGGCCCGCCGCCCGCCCTCTCGGGAGGCCGCCCCCCCCCTCGCCGCGCCGGGGCCTGCGCGCCCCGTCGGCGCAGGGGCGAGGGCGGCGCGCCCGTCCTCGGGCCGGACTCCACGCCCTACGCGATGAACCCCAAGCTGACCATCTCGGACGGGGCCAGGGCGAGGACAGTCACCACCCACCAAGCCACCCCAACCCAACCCGAAGGCCTCAAATTGACCTCCATTTCCAATGGGGGGGGGTCGGGGAACATCGAGAGAACACGTGTGGAACCCGTACCCCCCCCCCAACCCGAAATTCGGGTCTTCGGGTTGGGTTGGGGTGGTCTGGTAGGTAGTCAGACGGAGGGCCGTTCCCGAGGAGGCCGCGGCGCCCGAGGCATCCTCCGCCGCGGCGCCCGAGGCACCCTCCCGGGCCGCCAGCTCTCAGAGACGCTCGGCTTCTCCTCGCCCGATGCTGTTCTCGTCCTGGCTCCGTCGTGCCATCCGGGGGCTGCCATAGGTGGCGACGGACCCTCGGGGTGCCCACAGCTTCCCCTGCCTTTCTGGAGCCCCCCTGGGGCCCTCTCGGCCTCGTGGGGGGCGCTCTGGAGGCCACCTCGGCCGCCAGGGGAGGCGCTGGAGCCACCTGCGCACAGCTGCGCCCCCGTGCGAGGCGCAGGAATCCAAGACGCAGCCCACCGGCAATGCCAGCCGTCCTGCTCACCACCGAGGTTGGAGTGGCTTTGGTTTGCCGCCCGGGTGGATGCGGAGATGTCCTCCCTCCGCCCACAGCGGCTTCGTTTTGCAACTGTCCATGCAGTCAACCCGCATAAGAAGGATGGGCAACCTTCCCACGGGTACCCCCTTGCATCCTTGCCTCCACGACCCATCCTTGGCCGCTTCCGCTGGCGGCGCCCCGCGCGAAAAGCTCCGAGATGGCATCCCAGGGCCCTTGCATTGCATGCTTCCCGCGCATCCTTATGATACGGGTTGACAGTACAGGGACCCGCCGCCTTTTCGAAGTCTGGGGGGCCCCGGGGCCACCTCTCTGGCAGCGCCCGCGCCGTGGGCGAGAACCTGGCCGACCTGGGCGGGCTGTCGCTCGCCTGCCAGGCCCTGCAGGCCCGCCTCGGGGACGGGCTGCGGCCCGAGCACCTGGCCGCGTTCTTCCGCTCCTGGGCGAACGTGTGGAAGGCGAAGGACCAGCGGACTCGGGGGAGGAGGTCGTCGGGGCCGCACTGGCCCCGGTCGGTGCCCAGGGAAGCGTAAGACTCGACCGAGCCAGAGCTGGGGTCTGCCGACGTGTTCGGACGAGCGCGTCCTGGATTTTGACGGCCCGGTTTTCGTGTGTCGTGGGATGCTTTCAGCGGGAGTTCGCGTCAAAATTCAGATTGGGTCTCGTCGTTTGCATGATGGCCCCGTCAGGCCAATCCGAGTTTCCCGTACCCGAGTCTGATGTATCCCCGACGTGCAAAACCGGGCCAGTCAGGTTTCGGAGGACCCTGCCTGATCCTGCAGGATCCTGCGCGCAAGCCCGGGTCAGTGCAGCCGCGGCTCTCCAGGATCCTGCAAGGTCTGGCGCTCTGCCTGGCCCCCGTTTGCGTGGGCATTGGCTCCGTCGCTGAAGCCCCGAGATCGGGGGCGACGATGGAGGCGAATAGCCCCGTGGAGAGCGATGCAGGTGTCCAGGGGCGCCGGCGGTCCATGCCTTCAAGTCGAGGCTCCCAGGCGAATGCCCGCAAGGCCCGCCGCCCCCGGGCCGTTCGCCCCCGTCGTCGCCCAAGAGGAGAGTGCACCGGTACCTCTGCGCCTCCTCCTCTTCGAGGTCGCTGCCCAGAGTGCGCCCCGGGGAGAGGGTCCGGGAAGAGGCAGCGGTGTCGGTAGTGTTTTGCGGAGTTCCCCAGCGGACGCCGCGAGCGGCGAATTTCACCGCAGTCGTGCCTTCGCGGTGCTTGGCCCCGTGGCGCGACCCCACGGGCACAGACGGACCGAGGCATAAGATCGAGGTCGGTTCGGGGAGCGTACCCTCATGTCGGGCGTGTCCCCCTACAGGAGGATCTTCGACGAAAAATAATCAATACCCAAAAAATACACCAAAAAGGTAAAACAATATTGAAAAAATTGTCCCCAGGCTGTTTTTTGGATTTTTTTGATTATTTTGAAGGTATTTTTTCATTTTTCGTCGAAGATCCCCCTGTAGGGGGACATGCCCGACTTAAGCGTACCCTAATGTTCTGCGTGTTTGTTGGATGCTCTTGGGCATCCTTGGAAAGTGTACGCTCGGTGGTCTGATGATTTTGGATGTTTTGGCCGGCGGAGGGTCTCTGGCGAGGACGAGGAGGAGGAGGAGGAGGAGGAGGAGGAGGAGGAGACCAGAGCAGAGCAGCGCCGATGATCCGATGAAGTCAATCGCCTTGAGACAACCGCACCCTGCAGGCCCACAAGGAAAACAAAAAACGGATCAGGCGTTCGAGAACCACTTGAGGGGCCCGAGATTCTGTGGGGCCCTGCAGGGGGATACCACTGGCATACGAACGAGACCCCCTTATCGGGAACTCTTAGGGGGCTCGCCTATGCACTCCCTCCACTGAACAGGGCCGAGGGACGGCGACGCATTAAACCGACCCCAGCACAACCCCTTTCAGCCCTCCTCGACACGGCGCGGCACGGCCCAGACGTCCGAGGTCCGCAGGGAACCCGAGAGACGGCCCTCGCCCCAGGAACTCGAAGCCAACCGAAGCTGGCGGGAGGCCTCCGAAAGCCTCTGAAGCGTCTCGGCGCCGAGGGAGGCCTGAATGGGGGGGGTCCTAAAGAAAAGTCTAACCTCCAGGGCCCCATCCGAGTACTCAAGGATCGGGGAGAGGGTCCGAGCCTGGAGGGCGAGGAGGGTTCCGTCTGGGAGGCGGCCCTGGAGGTACAGCTCAGCGGTGCGGCGTGAGCCATTAACGGATTGCAGCCTGAAGCGTGCTGGTCGACTCAGAGCTCGTCTTCGTCCTTGTCCCTGTCGTCGGGCGCCGCTGCTGGTTTGTCCTTCATCCCCAGCTGCGCCAGCAGCTTCGAGGCCTCGCGTTCCAAGCCGCCTCTCGGCGGCGCCCCAGGGAGAAAGCGCACGGTCTGGTCCTTCTTGTCTGTGCCTGCCGCCATGACCGTCTGCTGAACCGCCTCCATCAGGGAAGCTGCGCCGTCGCCCCATGGGTTCGCCTGTTGCGGGATTCCGAGCATGATCTGGAGCTTGAACCTGTCGGGCTTGGAGAGCTTCTTCTTGTCGTACCAGCAGGCTTTGAGTCGGAAGTGGCGGCAGTGGATCGCCAGTGTCTCGAGCGCCGACGGGGCGAGGATGACCTTCCGCCAGTAGTCCTGGAACACCGTCTGCGCTGCCGCTGGAGTCGTGTTGGCCCCGTCCGTGCTGCAGGCCCACTTGATGAACGCCTTGAACACGTGCGGCCAGGGGGGGCCGTGCTGGTGGTCCTTGCCGTCGGCCTTGCAGTTCTCGGCGTACGTCCTGCCCGTCTCCTGCAGCACCTTGACGAACGGAACCTCTGCCCCGACCATGTACGAGGTGAAGCAGGCGCCAGTCACCTCGGCCAACTCGCGCGCGTTGGTGAGAGCGAGCTTCGTGAGAACCACCAAGAGCGCCGCCAGCGCTCCTCCCTTGCCGTTCTTCTGGTTGGCCTGCGCCTCCTGGCCGAGCTCCGCGAGCAATCGGGCCTGCTTGGCACCCTTGGAGTCGCTGGTCCCCTGGCCCTTGCGTTTCCCGACTGCCCAGCTGGGCTCGTCGAGATCCATCACCTCCAAGCACGAGCGGGAGGTCCTCGAAGTGGATGCGCGTATGGAGGTGAAGAGCAGACTCGGAAAGAACTTGAGCCTCACATAGGCGGCAACGGAATGGGCCTGTCGACGGAGAGAGCTCGAGAGTCGTGCTGAGCTGAACCTTGCAGAAGCCCGAAGCGAACGAGTCCAGCACGTGGTTGTAAGCCGAGTTGCGAGACTGGAACTTGCTGCCACAAACGAAGCACGAAGCGCCCTGGACAGCCTCAGCCAACAAGGTTTTGTAACCATGTGCGGCCCGAACGTGAACCAGCCACTGACGTTTCGTGAGGAACCATTTGGCGCAGTTCCCGATGGAGCAGCGAAAGCCCTCACCTTGTCCTGCGGGGATCTCAGGTGGTGCCTCTTGATGGGGGCCAGAGGTGCCTGCAGGGGGGATGCTGACCGAGAGCCACGCGGCCCTGACGACCGAGAGGTCCAACTCCGTGAACCAGTCCCGCAAGTCCCCCTCGTCGAGAAACTCCAAAGGGGCTCCTGACCAGGAACGCATATCCTCCTCGGTGTCCGCAGACGTCCTCCGAAGCGCCTCGAAGTCCCTGACGTACTGGATGGCCCAGGGGTTCGCCGTCTCCGCGAGATGGCCCTCGGGTGTAAGGGTTCGGAGGCCTCGCAGTTTCTCGGTGTTCATGTCCCCGAAGAGAGGGGCCCACTCGCCTAGATGTCGTGCGGGCTCTCGAGCCCATTGCTGGAACCACCGCAAACGTCTGACACGGAACTCGATTTCGAGAGGAGGGACCCGCCAATACCTCAAGACCGCCTCGGAAGGGACCGAACGAGCATGGCCCCCCTCCCAAGACGTCGCGGCACCCCTCATAGCTTTGCGCCCGAAGAAGACGACCCGCGCCGTTAGCTGGTCAATCTGGTTGGGGGTCGGCAGGAAGGCCTCGCAGGCGGAGCACGCAGGACCCACAACCCTGGCAAGGAACACAGCGCGGCGCTCGGTATAGGCGATCCTCCGAGCGTACCAATACTTTCCCATAGAGAAGAAACCCGCAGAGATGGCCGCCAGGCGGGCCGAAAGCTCGGCCCGAAACGAACAGTTACCCATGACCTGGCCTCCAAGATGTCGGGTTGAATCGGCTGGGACCCCTGCGAGAAGAACCTTTTTTTCCGCCACTTCTCGCCGCCGTGCATGGAGCCCCGTGCCCACGAAGGACAAGAGGCTGACGTTCTTAGCTGGGTTGAGCGCATAGCCGTGACGTCGGAGCTCAGACGAAAGAAGCAAGTCATATGCTCGGGACCACCGCGCGAGCTCCGCGGCCGTAGCCTGGTCAGGCGGCACCACGATCTTCCGAATGGCGTCATCTACGTATGAGTGAAAAGCCAAGTCCAGAAGAATCTCCTCGCCATCAAAATTGAGCGTGAGCTGGCACCAGGTAGCCGTCTCGGGGCCGAACTCCGCAAACTGTTCCTGCACCTTCGCAAAGACGGTGCTGATGTCCCGAACAAAGACCTTCACCGCCCACGGGTCGCCCATGAGAGCCCCGACGCTGGGGCGCATGCAGAGGTCGCCAAACATCACGGCAGCAAAGCGGAAGCGCTGGCGGCCGAACGAAACCTGGTCGTCCTTCATGATGCTCTGGTTGGCGGCTGCGAGGCTGTCCCAGTTGGTGGACGCGAAGGCGTTGGTAATGTCCTTGAGGTCAGTGACGTGATTGAGGCCGAGAGAGCGCAGCTTCCATGTGCACAGCTGCTGGCCCAGGATGGCCGTCTCTCTGCGCCGATGAGGTATACAGCCGTGAGCGAAAAGGGGTTCGTCCTGGAGTTCATGCGGGTCCGTCGCCGTGGCCATGAAGCCCTTGCTCAAGGGGTCGAGGAGGTGAATGACTCTCTTCCAGGTGAGCGCCACTCCTTGGCTCAAATGCCACACGAGCGGGGCCTGGCCTGAACGTCGGAGCCTGTGGAGGAAGATCACCAAGAAACGCCACGTATGCTCCTGATCGATCTGCGGTGTCTCATAGCCAACTCCGTGGAAGCGCCTGGACACACGACGGCGCGGGTGAAGCAGCATCCACCATAGTTCAAGCGGGACCGACCACGGCGGGCAGGCACGGCGCTTGGGGGCCCGCCGTAGCCAAGCGCGAAGTTCGCGGAGGCGGAGCTTAGCCCAACTCAGGCCCTTCTCGGTCCACGGCGCAATGAACTGCTCCGCCTCCTGGCCAGTGACGTCGTGGTACACGTAATCCTCAGCCTGCTGGACCCAGTCGATGTGAGTGGCTGCCATGCCACCTTCGCCAGCCGGCAGCGACCAGCGCTCGGCCAGCTCCTCTCCAGTGGGGAGGGCCACAGGCGCCCGTCGGTAGTCCCTCTTGCGGGGGCCCACGCCAGTGCCAGCCAGGAGTCGTGAGAGGCGAGCCACCTCAGCACTGCGTCCATGACGTCGGGCCTCATTGAGCTCGTCGACGGTGTCGATGCGCCACGTAGCCCAGTACTGTCTGCGAGCCGAGCGGAGCCACTTGGTGTGGCGTCGGAGCTGCCACTGCACGGAGAGGAGGGCCAGCGCGCCGTCGGCGTTGTCCGAGAAGTAGTCGTCGCTGAGCTGGAGTCGGAGAGCCCGCTGTTGGTCCAAGAGCGGCTGGATGGTGGCGGCCAGAGTGCGATACCCAGGGCGGTACTCAGGGGCCTGAGCGAAGTGCTTGCTGCCAATGGTCATCATAGCGTCCATCATGAAGCCCCAGTCGGCGTTAGGTGTCTGCTCCTCGCGTTGGATGGTGGCCCACTCGTCCGAGTGCTCGCGCAGGTAGGTCTCGAGCTCAATGAGGAAGGCCGCGCGACCTTGGCCCGAGCGAAGAGACTGCATGAGGGCCTCTCGGTTCCAGCGGATGGCCCGCGGCAGGTAGCCCAGGCGGCGGTGCTCCGTCATGTCGCAGTGAATGTGAGAGTCCGTGGTGTCCGCGATGGAGTAGTGCATGCAGGCGTGGACTGGGACGTGGCCCCTGGGCTGGCGAGTGGCGATGACCTGCAACTCGCGGCCCAGGCGACGGAGCGGCCCAGCCGAGGTGATGACGCCCAGGCAGGCCTTGGGCACGAAGATGAAGTCGATCTGCGAGGCCGTGGTCGAGCCGAAGAACGTCGGGCCCAGACCTATGTAGCTGTTGACCGCCACCATGCCGAGCTCCTCCATGAGGGGCAGGATGCTGGTCGCGGCGTAGCGCTGCTTGTCCTGCGCCAAGGGGCCGCTGACGTCGGATGTAGTGGGTCGCCACTGAGGGTCGCCGTCAAGCTGGCAAAGTCCGAGCCCCGAGTTCAGGTCGATACAGAAGATGGGGAGGACCCGCTTGGAACTGAGGTAGGGCAGCGATCGGAGCCAGTCCGTGAGCGCGTCGCAGGTGCGGCGGTAGACCTCCAAGCCGCCCTTGACAGGCGGCGGTGGGTAGTAGGCAGAGCAGACGCCAAGATCGTACGTGGAGCACCTTGCACGAAGCGCTAGCCCACGTCCCGCCAGAGAAGCTGCGGGCGTCCAGGTGTGCGTCACGGAGGACTTCTTCACTTTGGCCCCGAGGAGAATGCTGCAGCCAGCGCTTTTGTTGGTATACGGCCCTCGGGCCCACCCACTTTCAAGACACCAGTTGTGGTCTCCTGCCTTCCGCCAGCGTGCCTCCCAGGGCCTCTCTCGACCGTGGCCCTTGGCCGTCGTGCCGTTCAGACACACGAAGTCGTACGCTCGGCAGGCCTGCGCGATCGCGGTGAGCCTCTCACCGCTGGACGCGTGCAAGGGGTTATACTGGAGTACGCGAAGGCGGCTGCCGACCATCGCGCGAACGAGCAGGAGCCAGCAGCCCACACTGAGACATCTAGAAGCCATCAGCAACGAGGTAAGATGTGAGAGGGATGTCTCGGAAAAGAGGCATGTGGGTGGTGTGGGAGCTGGGCGCCTGTCGCCCTGGGCATCTGCGTGGGCACTCCTGACCCAGATGCCTTAGGAGGAGGAGGAGGAGGAGGAGAGGAGGAGGGGAGGAGGAGGAGGAGGGGGAGGGGGAGGTAGAGGAGGAGGAAAAGGAGCAGGAGGAGGAGGAGGAGGAGGAGGAGGAGGAGGAAAAGGAGCAGGAGGAGGAGGAGGTCGATGCTCTTGAAGGATGTTCTTATGGCTCGGGTTTGGCTGCGCGCGGCCGCACGGGTGCGCTCCGCGAGGGGCAGCCGCGCAGCGCCGCCTTGTAATTATCCACAGGGTCGCGGCCGCTGCGAGGCCGCGGACGCGGGCCTAAGTCTCTAATCCTATAATTATTAAATCCGGATTATTGCAAAAGCGGCCCGTATGCAAACCCGCTCCATCTCCTGCAAAAAATAACATTTCATGAGCATGCGTGCAGTGACCAGCCCCCGTTGCGAGCCCGCTCCATCTACTGCAAAAAATAGTTGTTTTTGAGCATGCGTGCAGAATCTGTTTTTTTACAGCACAAAGTGCCCAGTCCCCGTCGCGATCCGCCTCCATCTACTGCAAAAAATAGCATTTCCTGAGTATGCGTGCAGATTTTTTTTACAGCACAAAGTGCGCCCCTCTTATGTAAACCCGCTCCTTCTACTGCAAAAAATAGCACTTCCTGCGCATGCGTGCAGAATCTCTTGTATTTTGCAATACAAAGTGCCTCCCGTTGCGCGCCGATCCACCCACTCCACAAAATAGCCTTCGCTGCGCATGCGTGCCGAATCTCTTCCGCCCGACCCGACTCTTCCCGCCCGTGAGAACCCTCGCGTGCCAACTGGATCGCACATCACTCGTCGCCGTCGTCGTCGTCGTCGTCGTCGACGCTGTATTCGATGTGGTTCTAGCGAGGGGAGAGATGATCTTTATGGTGGGGTGGCGTGCGGGTGGGAGTGACGGCCACCGCAGGTGGGCTCGCGGTCACCGTGTACTCGTGGCCACGCCTAGTAGACCCTAAACCCTAAACCCCTTTCCCCGTCCGCGGGGACGTCGGCCAACCGCCTCGCCGATCCTGACCAGCCCCACCCAAGGCCGGGAGTAGATCGGGAGCGGAAAAAAGGGGGGTGATGACTAGGGGGGGGTGGATATCATGGCAGGGGGCATGATTTTCCCCAGCTTTCATGGCGCCTCCTCTTGTTTCATTACGTCCCTGGCCCCCCGGCTGGGTCGCGCACGTGCCGCCGGTCATGATTTGCACCCCCCCCTCTTGGACACACCCCTCTTGGACGCTCCCGAGTAGAGTGGAGGCCCATGCCCAAAAGAACACCCAGCTTGCCTCCAGGGTGCCCTGGGTCTCTTGGGCGTCGGTGGTCTTGCGATGGAGAGCGCGACGCTTCCACGCCAAAGATCCGTTGACGTCCTGGGGTCTCAGGGCTGGGTTTCTCGTGGAGGGTCTCTTGTGGTCGAGCCCTCACTGAACGTACATGCAGCCTCCCAGCTTGGCCAGTGAGACATACTTAAGCACCGATCCTGGGCCAAGGAGGGGCCGTGTCCAGGACCGGCGAGGTTGTCGGCGCGCGCCGCCCGAGAGGAGTCGCAGGCATACACCATCAAGAAGTTGTCCGTGGATCCGCACGCGCCGCCGTCCTTCCGCGGCAACCTCGTGAGCAACGTGGACTCCTTCTACAAGGCGTTCGACATCAGGGAGGGCGACGCCATGTACCTTCCGCCCGGGAAGCGCGTCAGGATGTGGTGAGGGGGCAGCGCGGCGCCCCTTCCAGCCGCCGCCTCCTCCTCCTCCTCCGCTCGCCTCTCGCTCCTCCTTCCCCTTGCAGTCGAGGCGCTGAAATGAGGTCCGCGTTGGGCTCGTGAGGGGCTCCGGTTTTTGGGCCGGTCCGTGGGTCTTCGTCGGGGAGCCCGTCCGTGACCGAGAGGCCCGCCGTGGCCAGAGACGCCCCCTTCGTTGCTGTTCCTGCGCTCCTCGTGGCAGCACGCCGCCTGCACTCCGCTTCCCGCCGTGCCTTCCGATGCTCTCCCTTCTTCTTCTTCTTCGAGGAGGAGGAGGAGGAGGAGGAAGAGGAGGAAGAGAAGGAGGAGGCGAGGAAGACGAGGAGGAGGAGGAGGAGGAGGAGGAGGAGGAACTCCCTTTCTCCTCCCGTTCCCCCCCCCCCACCTCCCCTCAGCGGCCCTCCTCTTCCTCCTCGGTCGTCCTCCCCTCCCTGCCTCCTCCCCTCTGCCGTGTCCTCCTCGTGGTCCTCCGCCTTTGCCTCCTCAAGTATTCCTCTGCACCCATCATCATCAGCATGAGCATCGCCAGCGCCAGTATCAGCACCAGCCTCAGCATCAGCACCACTATCAGCGTCAACATGAGCATCGGCATTAATATCAAACTCAGCATCAACATCAACATCATACTTATCAGCATCATCAGGATCTCTACCACCATCATCATAATCACAACCAGCAGCAGCAGCAGCAGCATCAACATCCTCATCATCGTCATCCCATCCCCTTGCTTATCATCATCATCAGCATCAGCATCAGCATCAGCATCATCATCATCATCATCATCATCATCATCCCCCTCGTCATATTCATCATTATCCTCCCCCTTCACACTACCATCACCAGCAGCATCATCATCGTCAGCATCGTCATCACCAACAGTATCATCATCAGCAGCAGCATCATCATCAGCATCATCATCATCCGCATCATCATCACCATCCTCGTCATTATCGTCATCGTCATCATCCTCATCCCCATCACCTCAACCGCATCATCATAACCGTCACTACACTCGGCATCAGCATGACCACCATCATCACCATCACCATCACAGCCATCAGCACCGGCATCATCGTCAACAAAACAATCATTAATCGCCCATCGTTGATCATCATCATCACCATCATCAGTATCGCGGTCATCATCATCATCATCATCATCATCATCATCGTCGTCGTCGTCGTCGTCGTCATCATCAGTATGACCAACATCATCATTGCCATCACCATCATCAGCATCATCATCATAATCATCATCATAATCATCATCCTCGTCATCATCATCATCATCATCATCATCATCATCATCATCGTCACCATCATCACCATCATCACCATTATCATCATAATCATTATCATCATCGGTAGCATCATCTCCATCGACATCATCACCATCACCACCAAACTCATCATCATCCTCATCAGCATCATCATCACCGTCACATTCGCAATCATCATCACCTTCATAGTCATCATCATCATCATCATCGTCGTCACCATCATCATCATCATCATCATCATCATCATCATCATCATCATCATCATTAGCATCATCACCATCGACATCATCACCATCACCACCATCATCATCATCAGCAGCATCATCTTCATCTTCGTCATCATCGTCACCAGTATCGCCACCACCATCATCATCATGATCATCATCATCATCATCATCATCGTCGTCATCATCATCGTCATCGTCATCATCATCGTCATCATCATCATCATCGTCATCGTCGTCATCGTCATCGTCATCATCTTCATCGGGCGCGGGCGCGCCGCGAGGCGACCTGCCACGCCCGTCAGCGGGCACTGGCTCTCTGCGGAGGCTGCTGGCGCCGATCGCCGTTATGTGGTGGACCACGCGACGGCTGACGCGGATCCGATGATACAACAATCCGCAAAAAATCTGCGAATGCCGTCAGGATCGCTGCCCTGAGGATCGACGGGTCGACCCGAAGCCACCCTCCTCGCACCTCGTCGTCATCAGACGAGGCGACGTAGGAGTAGTCATGCTCACTCCATCGCTCGAGAACAACTCCTCGGCGCCGCCGGTCCCAGCGTGCAGCCACACATCGGCTCCTATTTGGTGCGCGAGGGGAGGGTCAGGAGGGAAAAAGCACACTGACACAAGTCGTCGTCGATCCCCCAGAGGAAATAGGAGAAAATATGGGAAGTGGGGGGGGGAGACAAGAACCCAGAAACCATGGGAAAACATGGGGAAAACATGGGGGTTGACGCTCAGGAGGGGAACAAAAATCACACCGACACAAGTCGTCGTCGATCCCCCAGAGGAAATGGGAGAAAATGTGGGAAGTGGGGGGGGGGAGGCAGAAACCCAGAAAGCATGGGGAAAAGTTGGGGAGTCGGGCTCTTTGTGTCTATTTATGAATGTGTGTGTATATTTGTGTGTGTATTTGTGTGTGTATTTGTGTGTGTGTGTATTTGTGTGTGTGTGTGTGTCCCAGGGCCCCTTCAGACGTGGAGGCCACTGGCGAGCGGCCCGCGCCGCCTGCGCTGCCCCGCTCCTCGCCAGGCCCGACCGACGGCTCAGGAGGACGTCGTGCAGGTCGTGGGCAGGGCAAGCGTGCACGCGCATGGCCGCGCCTGGTGTCCACTGAGCTGCCGCGGTACGGTAGAGGGAAACAATTAGTGAAGACCCCCCCTGCCCCCCAAACTCAAGGTTGGCACGCGCGGGGGAGACTTCGGTCGAGGTGCACCTCATCAGACCCACCGCCAGCTTTGAACATTCGGGGAGGGGGAGGCGTTGTCGGATGAATGTGGCATGTGTTCGCTAATTTGTTCCGAGGCCTGTAGCTCTGGGCACAGACAGGCGGATGCGCCGCATCTGGAACATGATTGTGGCGGCGGTGCGCCTCGGCCTGCGGCTCGTCTGCTCCGTCTGCGGGATGCACGACGTGGGTTGCATCCGCGCGCCGGGCGCTGGCGGCTGCAGGTCTTCTCGCACGTGCAGCTGGTTGTGTGATCGACGTGCCGCGGGGCGCCTCCATCGTCGGTCGGTGAAGGCGCGTCGTCGTGGAATTCGGCATGGGCTGCGCGCGCGTGGTGCACTACGGCATCAGCTGCGCGCTCAAGCTGGGCACGGGCTACGGCAGCCTCTTCGGCGCGTGCTGCCGGGGGATGTTCTTCATGCGTGGCGTTGCTCTCTCCGTCTTCGCGGGTTTCTCGAGGTTTCTGCACGCGGCCATTTGGTACGGCATGACGTGCGCGCGCATGCTGGTCAAGGGTGTCGGCACAGGTCTCATGCTCCTGTGAGCTCCTGGAGCGGGAAAACAGCTAGCCCGGTCGGCCCGCATCGTCGGAAATCTCATGGTCTTCAGCGTCAGTGTCATCAGCATGGTTGTCTGCACGGGTTTGTCGGCGCGCTGGTCTGCTACGCTGTCGTGACGGCCATTCGTGCCGTCCTCATCCCGGCTAGGCTTCTGTTGCGTCGCCTTAGTCATGGAGCACGGCTAGGTGACGGCCTTCCCTTGGCCGTGACCGAGCTGCTGCGAGCGGGAGCCGCCTGCCCCAGCATGCTCTACCATGCCGCAGCAGATCTCCCGAGGATCACTGCTTCTGTCCTGTCGGTCCTGAGTTTGAGCCGCGGCAGCGCGCTCGCCTGCCCGTGTCGCGGCGGCCGCGCCGGCCCACCCACCGCGCAGAGCGCAGAGCTGAACTGGCAGCCGAGGAGGAAGGAGCGTCCCCCTGCTCCCCAAGGGCCGAAGACTGGGCCTACTGGTGGCAGGGGTGGGGGAGGCTAGAGCTGCACCGGCAGCCGCGGAGGAAGGAGCGCTCCTCTGCTCCCCACGAACCAGGGAGCGGGCCTGCTGGTGGCACGGGGCTGTCTGTGCTGCGTCCCGCACGTGCCGCTGCAGCGTTTTCCCTCCAGCAGGCCGCATGGAAGTCTGACGACGCGCGTCGGGCTCTGCGCTGGCGCGCTGGTACGATGATCCGTGCTTGCCCTAGGGCTGGCGCGATGGTGGTTTCTTCCTCGCGTGTGCTGGCTGGATCGCCTCGGCGTGGGCCGTGGGCTCAGGCAGGCAGTCTGTTTTGAGCCGCACGAGCCTGCGTGCGCGGCATGCACGTCCCACTCGGCCGTGGTTCAGCGGGCTCGCCTGGCGGACCGTGTGGCCGATGATGTCCCTGATCGTCATCACCACCACCTTCATTTCCATCATGATCATCATCATCATCATCATCATCATCATCATCATCATCATCATCATCATCATCATCATCATCATCAGCATCAGCACCAGCATCAGCATCAGCATCAGCATCAGCATCAGCATCAGCATCATCATCATCATCAGCACCAGCACCAGCATCAGCATCAGCATCAGCAGTATCAGTGTCATCTTCATCTTCATTGTTATCACCAACTCAGTACCATCATCAGTATCAGCATCATCATCATCATCATCGTCATCATCATCAGTATCAAAACAATAGTTATCTTCACCATCATCACCATCAATAACATCATAGTCATCCTTATCATCATCAGCATAATCATAATCATCATCAGCATCATCATCAGCAGCAGCAGCATCATCATCATCATCGTCATCACCATCATCATCATCATCATCATCATCATCATCATCATCATCATCATCATCATCTCCGTCATCATCATCGGCATGATCCTCCGCCTCCTCCTCCTCCTCCTCCTCCTCCTCCTCCTCATCATCATCATCATCATCATCATCATCATCATCATGACCGCCATCCTTCTGTCTGCCATGCTTCAACGCGGGCAGGTTAATACACCCTCGTGGCCGAGGCTCGCCGTATCCAGATTAGCCTCTTCGATTCCTGCCCAGCGTCCCTATCGGTAGCCGGATGCCCCTCCTCGCTCCGCAATCGCTCGGTCACGACTGAGGGGCGCTCTCCCCTCCGCTTCCCTCCCGACGCCCCCGTCGACTCCCCCGATTCTTCCTTAGCCCTTCCCTCCCTCCCT